CAGACGCTTAAAGAAAGAGGAAGACAAGAGAAGAAAAGGAGATGCAGAAAACCGATGACAATTAAAGAAGGATTCGTAGATTGAGAGGAGGAAGAGAACAGGAAAACGACAGGAAGATGATAAAAGAGAAAGAGGAGGAGGAGAGGAAGAAGAGGAGAATTAAAGAAGAAGAAGAAGAAGAAAGAAGCCTAAGTGTGTGTTCAGGCCGAGTGCACCCTAGACACACCTGTTGAGAGAGATTCTGTTGGCATGAATAATATTTCTGTTGGCATGAGTAATATTTCTGTTGACATGAGTAATATTTCTGTTAACATGAGTAATATTTCTGTTGACATGAGTAATATTTCTGTTAACATGAGTAATATTTCTGTTGACATGAGTAATATTTCTGTTGACATGAGTAATATTTCTGTTAACATGAGTAATATTTCTGCTGAGTAATATTTTGGACATGAGTAATATTTCTGTTGACATGAGTAATATTTCTGTTGACATGAGTAATATTTGTTGACATGATTCTACCAACAGGATTTTTTGTGATACCATTTAAATGAGTATTTTCTTCTGTTATTCTAATACCGTTTATCATAACAGGTGGTGTATACTGTTGTAGAGGTGATGTATACTGTTAAAGATATTTTATTATTTACCTGTTTGAATGTAATTAGTCCCTGTTGTTGTGGTCTACGAGTAACTTTAAACAGTCAACGGTAAACAGGGAATTACTGTTCAGGGTCAACAGGGAAGAATTTATAGATTTTCTTAGTAAGCAGATAAATGTATCGACAGGAATGACGTAATGATGATGATGATGACGTAATAAAGGAAATGACGTGATGGTGATTACGTAATGTTAGCGATGACATAATGATGATGTAATGGAGGTGACGTAAAGATGGTGATGACGTAATGAGGGTGATGACGTAATGAGGGTGATGACGTAATGATGGTGATGACGTAATGAAGGTGATGACGTAATGAAGGTGATGACATAATGAGGGTGATGACGTAATGAGGGTGATGATGTAATGATGGTGATGACGTAATGATGGAAAACGAGAACCAAAGAAAAACTTTATAATGGGAGACTGAAAGAAAAGAAAAGAGAAAAGAATTAAAAAATGGAAGTAGGATGACGAGAGAGAGAGAGAGAGAGAGAGAGAGAGAGAGAGAGAGAGATCGTGACCACTCATAAATATGTCTCACCCTTCCCCATTACCTCTCCCCAAACACCTCACCCTGACCATCTCTCCTTCCCTCCTCCATACCTCTATCCTTACTCTTCTTCTTCACTTCCAACCCTTCTATAAAGAGTTTTCATCGTCTCACCTCTTATATCTCTCCTTATTCCCCCCCTCACCTCTATTCCCCTTCCCCATCCCTATTCCCCCCTCTCCCCCTTCCCTCCCTATCCCCTATTCCCCTCCTCACCCTCTATTCCATCCATCTCCTCAATCCCTATTCCCCTCCCTTTTCCGTCCTTCCCTTTCTATGAATACCCACATGTTGACTCTCCTTCATCAACTCTCCCCTCCCTCTCCCTCACCCTCTCCCTCACCCTCTCCCTCACCCTCTCCCTCACCCTCAGTCCCTTCATTACCCTTATATGTCTTGGCACCGTGGCACACTGACCTCACTACTCACGAGACACCTCCTGTTCGAACCCCGGTCAGTGTGGAGATTTTACCAGGACTCATTATTCTGTGAACCAAGTTAAGATTATTATTTCTTGTTTAATCATGAATTTTGGTCAAGTATTTATTTTTATTATTATTATTATTATTATTATTATTATTATTATTATTATTATTATTATTGGTAGCATTATAATCATCATCATTATCAAATTAAAACTGGCGGCCGTCGAACTACTAATTAACACACACAGGTAACCATCACGCCTCACCTTTATATAATGAATTATACTTTTGAGTTGTATATACATCTATGGCTTGATGAAACTATATAAATTAAACTCTGGTTTTTATTTATAGGGCTTTTTGTTTTACGACGAAGCGTAACCCATTATTTTTGGGGGGTTTATTTATTAGTTTGTATAGAGTTTATTTTTAGGTATATATCCAACAGTGGCTGTATAGTTGTTAATAATAAATAATGGATTAACGGTGATGGTTAGTTGATGTAACGATAATAACGGTAATAACGGTAATAACGGTAATAACAGTAGTGATGACGATAACCAGTGATAATAATAATAATAATAATAATGGGAGACAGAGAGAGAGAGAGAGAGAAGAGAGAATAAAAGACAGAGAAGAGAAACTTTCTCCCTAAACTCCCCCAAATTTTTCCCAAGACAGTTTGTCGTCCCCAGAAGGAGGGAAACTTCATATTAATTACATATCTGGAACACTTAAGAACAGGATCCAGGAGTTTCATCCCCTTCCCTCTTATCCCTCCACCCTTTCCCCCTATCCACCCTTCCCCTATTCCCTTTACCCTTCTTTCACCCTTTATCCTTCCCTTCGCCCTTTACTCTTCACCTTCCCTTCGCCCTTCACCTTCCCTTTCCCCTTTACCGTCCTCCTTTTCCCTCTCCATTCGCTCACCCCTCTTTCTCCCCTCCAGTCACCCCCTCCACCGTTCCTCTCCCCCTTCATTCGCCCCTCCACCCTCCCTTTCCCCCTTCACCTCTTCCCTTCCACCCTTCCTCTCTTCCCTCCACTCTTCTCCCACCCCCTTCCCTCCCACCCTTCCCCTTCCCCACCACCACCCCTCCCCCACCCCACCTTGCCCCCACACCCCCACCCCTTGCCCCCACACCCTCAAGAAAGTTCCAAATTGGAGTCGATAGAGAAGGTTATTCAAGCATTCTTTTTATCTGCGTCACCATGTTGGTCTGTTGACACACACACACACACACACACACACACACACACACACACACACACCAACTCTTCATCTGGCGCTTAGAGAGAGAGAGAGAGAGAGAGAGAGATCACTTTCCCGGGTCCCAGTAGCTCTGTCAGCCACCCATCTCACTTTCTGGTATGGACTTGTTGCAGAAATGAAGTAAAGCTTCCAGTAGTTGTGGTAGTTGTGGTAGTTGTGGTGGTGATGGTGGTAGGGATGTTGATGGTTGTGGTGGTGGTAGTGATCCGGGATGGTGGTACTTGGGGATGATGGTGGTAGTAGTGGTGGTGGTGGTTGCGGCGGCGGTATATGTGTGCAAGTAGTATTAGTAGTGGTAGTAGTGCTGATAGTAGTGGTAGTGGTACTGATAGTGGTAGTAGTGCTGATAGTAGTGGTAGTAGTGCTGATAGTAGTGGTAGTAGTGCTGATAGTAGTGGTAGTAGTGCTGATAGTAGTGGTAGTAGTGCTGATAGTAGTGGTAGTAGTGCTGATAGTAGTGGTAGTAGCAACGAGGGTGTGGTTCACGGCCTGTTTGTTTATATTAATTATCTAATGTTTTGATTTACGGTGTTTCTTTACATCAGTGTTACATAGTTCTGGTTGTTAGAGGTATTGTGTATGAGCCGCATTTAGTTGTATAGGTTATAAGGCGTAAAATCTCCCATGTATTGTATTAAGATTAGTTGGCAACCGAGTCGTATTGTTGTGGTGGTGACGGTCGGGGCAGAGCGGCGTGAGCAACCGGACAACAGGAACTCCAGGCCGTACGTGGGGTGTTAGTTTCTATATGCCCGTCATTTGTGTCTAAAAGTCCCGTGATAACTGACAGGTAGTAACATTGATAGTAGTAGTAGTAGTAGTAATGCTGATATAACTAGTTAAAATGGATAAAGAACAAAATTACAAAGGCTTTTTGATCAATTTGTAATGGAGGGCATAACTCGATAATGGGTTTTATGTTGTTGCTAATGATAAGCTCAGACAAAAACAAGATTACTTTCATCTCTGACAATTTGCGCTCATTTTGCCCATAACCGAGATATCGGGAATTGAAAATGAGAAAACTAGCAGAAAACTCTAAAGCAGTGACGGGAAATGGCGGGATTTCACAGTTAAGCGTGGCATAGGGTGTGCTGCAGGCGAGTGGGAAGCTAGGGTCCCCCTGAGGAAAATTTTTAGAGTAAGAATTGACTTTTGTGATATGAAAACATATGTGCGCTGGGAGGCACCGCCCTCTAGGACCCCCGGCATATTGAGTATCTCTGTTCTGGGTCGTTTACGAGGGGAAACGTCATGAAAGTGTCTTAGAATTGTCTAAACTATTGATTGTAAAGAAAAAATGAGGAGGTTCGGTTGGTGGCAACAAATGCAAGAACAACTTTTCTAGTCCAAATTGTCATAGATGAAAGTCGTCTTGCTTTCATCTGAACTTTCGATTAACAACAATATAAAACCCAAATATCGAATTTTGTCCTCTACTATAAATTGGTCGAGTTTTTTTCTCCCTTCATAAAAAAAAAATCCTCCCAGTCTGCCCGCGCCGCTGTGTTCACTAAGGGAGAGGACAGTTCCCAGACAACCATTACAGTAGACTTCAGGAACCAAATTAACATACAGAGAATCTTTGCGAGTTCGGACCCATGATCGTTAACTTGTGATTTTACAGCGTTGTCGTGATCTTACCGGGGGTTGACCCTCAAAGGGTTGTATTAAGGGAAGGAGGGGGTGGATGGATTTGGGGGTGTGTGTGGGTAAAGGGTGGATGGTTTTAGGGGGGGGGAGGAGTTGCATGGGTGTCGAGTATATAAACACTTTCTTTTTCCCATAATAGAAATGTATAAATCGCCAGCTATTTATTTTAACCCTTTAAATTTATCTCAGCAGTTTATTTGCATCTGAAATTTATTTTATCGGCTGTTTAACCCTTTAACTCTACCACCTGTCTGTTTTAACCCTTTAAGTCTGCCACCTGTTTGTTTTAACCCTATAACTCTACCACCTGTCAATAATAACCGTTGACTCTATCACATGTGTGTTTTAACCCTTTAGCTCTATCACCTGTCTATTTTAACCCCTTTAGCTCTACCACCTGTCAATAATAACCCTCTCCCCTTCTCCCTCCACAGCTAACTCACTGCCCAGCGGCTTCCCTTACTTCCGCACGGAGCCCAAGACGAAGGCGGTGGAGATTGACCACACTGCCCTGCTGGTCTGTGACGCCCGGGGTAATCCAGACCCTAACATCACCTGGTATAAGGACCATCGACCCGTGGACCTGACCAACCCTCGCTACACCGTCCTCAGATCTGGTGAGTGTTCCATTACATATATGTTTTAGATATTCCATTAACCTTTATAGTTGAGATGTTCAGAGGGTGAAGGTGAGGAGGGGGCATCTCACTTCACGTGGTCTATGTATTTGGAAGATATCAGAAACGATTGGTGTTGTTTCTCGCTTCAGATGGTTTCAGTTATGGTGAGTGGTTGAATATATTTATAGTTCAGATGTTCAGTTACACGCTAGTTCAGATGTTTGATTATATTTACAGTTCAAATGTTCAAAGGAAGGGTGGGGCATTTCTCTTGGAAGTGACACACGTGTACATGGATTTCAGAAATTGACTCGCTTCAGTTGGCTTCAGTTCTGATGAGTGTGAATTATATACAGTATATAGTTCAGTTGTTCAATGAGGGTATACACTTCAGGGGGGAGGGAGGGATACAGGAGGAGGAGGAGGAAAAGGGGATACAAGGGGAGGGGCCAGGGGTATGCAGGAGAGGAGGAAAAGGGAGAAACAGGGGAGGGGGGGGGCCCAGATCTATCTGGCGATGTTAAAAGCGACTTGTAAAGTTAAAAGAGACATGTCGTCGTTTAGTTTATAGATCTATTATATGTTGGGAGTAATTTACTATCCCCCACCCCCACCACAAAAAACCCCCAGAAAATTGACTTTGATTCATTCATTTGATACATAGTCATTCATCAACTCCCGGAGATCTGTTCACAGTTCGAGTTGTGTCCCTCTATACATGACGTTTCCTCGTGTCAGGTTGAATCTAAGTAAAATTCAAAGGTTCAGGCCATTGATTTAGAGATTTCAAATTCGAGGAGGGAGATCACGTCAGAAATAGGACCGGAAACTACTGAAATTGGTAATTCCTACTACACGAATCCTCAGTTAGTTCTGGTAAGTGGACGTGGGCGTAGGTGTAGATGTAGGTGTGGGCGTAGGTGTAGACGTAGGTGTGGACGTGGGCGTAGGTGTGGATGTGAGCGTATGTGTAGATGTAGGTGTGGGCGTAGGTGTGGGTGTGGGCGTAGGTGTGACCGTAGGTGTAGATGAAACACTACCGGCGTAAAAAAGAAACAAACACGGTTCTCTTTGTTTTTTTGTGCGTGCGTGTGTGCGTGCGTGTGCGCGTGCGTGCGTGCGTGCGTGCGTGTGTGCAGGGTAATAATAATAATATTAATAATTAACGGTTTATTGAAAGAGCATAGCAGCCAGAAGGCTGAAAATATACAGTTACATAATTGGGGAATGGGTTTCTGTTTACAAATAATATACAGTAACATAAGTGATACAAATATGATATATATTAACTAGATGGGGAAAAGCTCAAACTACAGTTCATTTCAACATAGTGACAGTGCAAGGAGTAGTGTTTACTGGGAGTGAATACACTGGTTTATTACAAGTTATTGATAATTTTTACATTGGTTGGGACTGGGCTGTTCTATAGTGACTGTCTGTGCACGTATGGGCTGGATGCGGCTGTGTGTGTGTGTGTGTGTGTGTGTGTGTGTGTGTGTGTGTGTGTGTGTGTGTGTGTGTGTGTGTGTGTGTGTGTGTGTGTGTCAGGCTCACCCCAGGCTAGAGTTACAACACGCTCTTTCACCAGTATCCTGACCCGTGTTATGATGACTCTTCCCTCCTTCCTCCTCCCCACCCCTTGTCAAATCCCTCCCTTAATCCCCTCCCTCAATCCCTCCCTCCCTCCTTCCATCCCTTCCCAGCGGCTGTAAAAGAAGGAACAGGGGTGGGAGAGAGAAAGATGCGGGGGAAAAAGATCCAGCAGGTTAGGTTTGGAGCAGGAGAGGAAGGCGAGGAGGAGTAGTGAAGAGAAACAAGAGACCGTGGAAGAGGATAGACGAGGGTGGGGATGGAGAAAGGAAGGGATGGGAAAGAGAAGTGTGGAACAGTGGTAGAATTGGTCATGTGGGCGATAGAGAAGGATGGGATGGGTGGATTAACGGAAGAGAGCCCAGAGAGTATTTGGAACAGGAATGGGAAGGGGATGAAGGGAAGTGACTGTGTTGTTGGAGCGTGGGAAGACTACTGGGAGCGTGGGAAGACTACTGGGAGCGTGGGAGTGAATGGATTAGGGCATATAAGGAGTGTTTTGACCCGTGTGTATGGGGAGAATATTATGAATTTGGGAGCTTGGGAAGAATATTGGGACCGTGGGAAGAAAATTGGGACCGTGGGAATAATATTGGGACCGTGGGAATAATATTGGGACCGTGGGAAAAATATTGGGACCGTGGGAAAAATATTGGGACCGTGGGAAGAATATTGGGACCTTGGGAAGAATATTGGGACCGTGGGAAAAATATTGGGACCGTGGGAAGAAAATTGGGAGCTTGGGAATAATATTGGGGCCGTGGGAATAATATTGGGACCGTGGGAAGAAAATTAGGACCGTGGGAAGAACTTTGTGGGCGTGGGAACGAGTGTGTCTCTTGGCCCTGTGTTGTCTTGGGAGAGCCTCAGGGGTAGGATGAGTTAGGGTGAGAATATAGAACAGTCAGCAACAGTCAGCAACAGTGAGCAGAACCGGGTAACAGCAAATGGCTAGTGGGAGGTACAGTAGCAAGTAGTAATACCAGTAGCAGTAACAGCAGTAGGAGTCGAGCAGATGCAGTAGCACAGGTTATAACAGAGACACTCATAACCTCATCAACGACAGTAGTAAGCACAGCAGCCAGCCAGCCAGCCAGCCAGCCAGACAACCCTCAGGAGTAATGACATCCACAGCATCTCTGGCTTGATATCAGCATCATCACCACAACTACCATCACCAACACCAATTTCCTCACCAGCATCACCATCTTCCTAGTCACCATCACTATTACCAGAAGGGAAAACATGATAATCCAACCAGGGGCTAAAGGAGGAGAGAGGAGGAGGAGGAGGAGGAGGAGGAGGAGGAGGAGGAGGAGGAGGAGGAGGCACCTGACAGACGAGGATCCACACCACAATTCCACTAAAACCTCCCATATGGGTGTTGTGGGAGGCGACGGGTGTGAGTGTGAGCACCTCCTCACCACCGTCCCCTGAGGCCCGTGGACACCCGCCGCCTCACCTCTCCACCACACCCTTGTCCGTGCCACCACCACACCCTCGTCCGTGCCACCACCACAACCACACCCTCGTCCGTGCCACACTGCTCGCCCACTTGTAGTAGGTTTTTTATGGTGATATTCTACACTGTAATGAATGAACCAACACTACACTGACCCCTGATTGTTTTAGAGAGAGAGAGAGAGAGAGAGAGAGAGAGAGAGAGAGAGAGAGAGAGAGAGAGACTTAATCCTCCTACTGCGTCGTGTAACTCAATGAACGCACTTTTAAAGAGTTTGCGAACGCACTTAAAGGAGATTATGAACGCGTGTTTAAAGTGTTCTCGTCAACGCACCTGAACGCACTTACTGCCGCCAGAGCCCCGATTTATGTCCCAGTTATCGGGGCTGAATATTGGTTTACGAAGGAGAGCGAGGTGTTGGCCAGCCGATTCCCGATAAATTTCTTCCTTCATCCGACTGACTGACTGACTGACTTACTAACTGACTGAATAGACCGACTACCCGCCGACTTGACCGACCAACCGAGTTAATGATTATATATTTGCTATCGTCGAATATTAATTTAAGATTCTTAGTAATTTTAACCAATTTTCTGCCTTCGGTCGACCAACTACTGACTGACCGAGCGAGCGAGTCTTTGCTACGGTCGAGGATTCACAAAAGATTCGTAAATTATCTTTTTTTCTCATGATTGGAAATGTTACAGATTGGGTGTTGACAATGATTGGTGCAGTTTATTATTTCCTGATTGGAGATGATACCGGATCTAATATTGACAAAGATTCGTGTATTGATTGTAATTGTCCCTGACCTGGTATACATAAGAGATTGGACGTTCATTTTTTTTTAACCTGGTGATTGGATGACGATGTGCTGCTATGATTCGAATCCTTACCGTGGACAATACGAATCCTTGATTAGGATTATACGAAAAACATTGAACTTATGTAATTTGACAAAACATTTCGGTGGAGGGAACACACACACACACACACACATACACACACACACACACACCATCAATAACGCCCGCCTGTCATTAATAACGGCGTGACGAGGCTTGTTACCTGACTTTCAATATCTTTATCACCTGAATGGTCATCACTTAACACGGTGATCAATAGTCCCGTTGAAAAGCTGAATGTAATTGGCCGTAGGGGGACTGAAACCTCGTATTGTGTGTGGCTGGGTGGTGATAGAAGCCCGTATAACCGTGTTCTGAGTGACTGGGTGGTGATACGGAATTGAGTGACCGTATTCTGATTGGTTGAGTGGTGATACGAGCCGGTATGTCCGTATTCAGAATGGTTAGATGGTGATAGGAGACCGTATTCTGATTGGATGGGTGGTGATATGGGCTTTAGTGACCATATTCTGAGTGACTGGGTGTGAAATGGGCTGAGTAACCGTATTTTAAGTGACTGGATACTGTTAGAAGCCGTATGACTGAATTTATCTGTAATTTAACTGTTGTAAGATGTGGCTCGCATCACCCCTCACCACCCCTCCTCACCCCTCACCCCCTCCTCACCCCTCATAACCTCCCTCACCCCACACCCCTCACCCCCTCACCACCTCCTCACCCCTCACCACCCTCCCTCACCACCCTCCTCCCCTCACCACCCCTCCTCACCCCTCACCACCCCTCCTCATCCCTCATCTCACCCTCCCTCACCTCTCCCTCCTCACCCCTCACCACCCTCCTCACCCCTCCCACCCTCCTCACCCCTCCAGGCGCTCGTTACCTATGAAAACACCGTTGGCATCGAGCGTGTGTGTAATCAATATCCCGGAGGCTGACCGACCCCTCAATGGTCACGGGTAAATTCCAGGTAATAATTGTTACCTGAGCACCTACTGGCCCGTCGCTCCCTCCAGGTGAGAGAGATAGGTGGCTAGTTGAGGTTACCAAGAGAAAGGGAGAGAGACAAAGAGACGGAAAGA